TTTTTCATTCATCATTGACTGAATCATGACTGAAGCCCAGGAATTGATTTTGATTTGGAATTGAAACACAGTCAGGAAAGTATGTCCCTTTTATAATGTCGGGGTACTTAATATTTTATTTTATATTGCTTTACCAGCCAAACCAATTGGTTTGCGACATTTCAATAATAAAACTGAAGTTTTATGGACTGTATAATTTGCTGCTACAATGAATTTATTATTCAATTTTAAGTTGGGAAACACATGGATTGCACAAATCTGCCCTACGATGTTGGTAAAATTAGAAACATTTGCAAAAATATGGGAAAGAGGTCTATTTTGGGCAATGGTTTAGAGACGTTTAATGAGGAGTGATAAAATTAGAGTGGAGTTGCGAAAGAAGCGGAAGAGAGTTTTTTGAAAAATAATAATTTGATTTCAATGTTCATTTTTCAATGTTCAATGGGGAAACCGAATTGGAAGAAGTTGAGCAGGCATTAATTCATATTATCAAAAAGTGTCAGACAAAAGCTTCTAGAGGAAAATATCGAATATCGGAGTAAATAAACTGGTAATTGCTTGTTTCTTACAAAGCAACTGATCTACGAAAAGCGATTAAATCTCATCAGCAAACGTTCGTTAAATAAAATAAAAGATGTAAAATCGCAGGGAACGTACAATCGATATTAAAATGTCCACAAGAAAAAGCTCTGGAGGATTTATCATATGGAAAACAAATACTCTAACACTATGTCTACTTATAAATTAATTCCAGATCCATAACACTAAAAATTCTGAGAGAAATTGCTTTATCAATCTGGAGACTTTTGATGAATGTACTGCGGCCAGTCGAATACCGATTTTTAACATCTGCGATTTTAATAGAATAGACCTCAGAAATTCCGCTGGTCCAGGAAAAATTATCAGACCATTTGGGAGTCGAAAACGAAATTTTAAGATAAATTTTGCTTCAGGGCGCAAACTGAATCGATCAGCAATGCCCAGTGTGGACACAGATTTTCTAGAAACCGACATTTGAAACGAATTTATTATTTTCCAATTTTCATGAGGAATATGAAAAAGTTTCCAATGTACATAATTAAAATAAATTATATAAATCAATCGCAAAATCAATTTATGGAAATGTGTTTAGAAAGTTTATGTGAATTGTTATGAAAATATGTAAGTGATATTTTTTTGTTTGGTGGATACTTTCTTTGTTAGAAACTTGTGACTATTTCATTTAAGTTATGGGCATGTAACGGAGATTTTGCATTTAGAAATAGGACGAGATTTAGTATTCCGAAAGTATTCAGCGTGTTTTATTAGAATATGTAGCGTAAACACATTTAGTTACATTTAGCAACTTTTGTAACTTGTAAACTTGTAACTAACTGTATTTCCAATTTTAAAATAAACTTTCCTCTCGGGTTTTAGTCATTTATTTCGATATCACAAATTATTCATTTTAAATGAATTTTAAAGAATGAATAATTTGTGATATCGGAATAAATGACTGAAACTCAGGAAAATAGTTCATATTAACGTTTTTATGTTTGATCAAAAAATACTCGAAATAACTTAATCTGGAGAAAACAGAATCTCATGATTCAACCAAAAAAAAATTTTTGGAACGATATCATTATCATCAATGAACTTACAAAACTGATTTCCAATTTTTTTTTTCAAAAAGCCGAGAGAACAACATTGAAATAGTTGATAATCCAGGATAAATTTTCTTTATTTTAGGCGTACCTATAACCATTAAGGGAAGCCTTGCTGTTAAGGGTCTAAAACATACTGGCGGATCAGTTATTAGAAAAGATCACAAAGCCGAATTGGATGCGGATGTAGTTTCTCTGGTGCGAAAAGCAGGTATTAGCAATCCAATAAAATAATTAGCAGAATTTAATTTTACATATTTGCTCTGCTTGCAGGCGCAATTCCTCTGTTAGTATCAAATACCCCTGAGTTATGCATGAGTTTAGAAACCACTAATAAACTTATTGGAACTACTAAGAATCCGCATGACACCACCAGAACATGCGGAGGATCTTCCGGTGGAGAAGTAAGAAAAAGATATAGAAAATGTTTTAAAGTCTTAATTTTAAATAAAAATTAAGTTGATCTTTAACTTATCACGTAATTAAAACTATTTATTATGTGGATTAAAGCTTATCTGTGGATAACACCAAATAGAAACGATGCAATATTTTTACTTTCTTATTTAGAGTTTGTCGCAATTAATTTCTGATTTGTTACCAATAGTGTCAACCTGATTTGGGACACTCCGTAGTATATAATTATTATCAGATAATATATATTTGGTTGTTTTTGTAGGCAAGTCTTTTAGCAGCTGGAGCATCTGTTATTGGAATAGGATCAGATGTAGCTGGATCCTTAAGGCTTCCAGCCCATTATTGCGGAATATGGGGCCATAAACCTACTCCAGGGACAGTGTCTTCCACTGGTCATTATCCCTCATGCAACCAATACGAAGAATGGACGCGTGCGTTTACTGTGGGCCCGATGGTTCGATATGCAACTGATCTTAAAACTTTCTTGCGAGTTATTGCCAAACCTGAACAGGTGGAGAAATTGGATTTAGATGGAAAGGTATTTTCATTTTGCCCTATTTTGTTAATTGAAGTTTCGCGTGCTTAATATACAAGAACGAATTCGGAATGTTTTTAACTCAAGAAAAACTAAACTAGATATTTCCTTTCAAATTGTAATCATTCTATCTTGATTATTGTATGCTGCGAAAGTATTCCAACTATGACTTCATATACTTAAGTCAGAGAACAATCAATCAGGCAACTAGATATATTTTATTTGCCAATTTTACGAAAATTCTAATTGATATAAAAAGGCAAATAATAAAAACATAAATAAACCCACACTTAACAACTATCTTTAAACAGTAAACACTTTGATAAACGTTTGCTTTTATCATTTTGCAACGTTTGCAAATTTAGTGGGTGTTAAAATGTACAAATGATCAATACTTTTTGAAAAGCTAAAGGACCTAATTGATAGCATGTTGATTTCTTAATAAAATGTTTTTGCGGTGATTAGCTAATTACATTTCCAAACTTTTCAGTGGTGAGTCTTATAGAACTCAACGTTCGTTTTGTAATTTTCGTAGTTTTTGTGTGTAGAACAACATTAAAAATGCAAAATTTTTGATCCTAAAAAGTTTTTTACCTTTTGCCTCGTTATGAAGTCATAGTCATGCCGTTTTAATTCACTCCTTTGCATTTTAATTTTGCAACAAATGTCTCGCAGGATATAAGCATGTATTGAAGTTAAACAGCCACTTTAGTCATATTCATAAATTAATATACATTCTTGCATATCAGTTTGTTATAATCAATAATTCTTTTATTTTAATTTAGACTCGTCAAATTAATATATATATATATTATGTAAGTCAAATTTTTTAAATGACATATTCATTAACCACAGTATCTTTACTTTTTATTTTATGGACAGCATCCATAGATTGCCCTCGAGTTTTCGATGAAACAAATATATTTTAGCATTGCAATGAGCAGATAATCGCAATATGTTTAATTTATCGGCAATAAATTTTAGCCGAATTGTCGAAAACCACGCAAGAAACATTTTGATGTAAAATTTGGGAAAGCGAGTTCTACTCCGGCCAATAAAGTCTCGATTTGCACAGTCAAATTACTTGTGTCCTATATTTTATACGTATGTATATTTTTCACCGTGACCATGTTTATTTATGTATTGGTCGACAACAAAAATTAGTTTGCAAATATAAAATGTGGGTTAACAAAATCTCTTACTGTTCAAAGAGCAATAGCTTTATTCATACATAGGCACCTAATTAACTTTCAGGTTGATTTAAAAAAAATCAAAATATACTATTCTGAGCATGAGGATTATTATTGGCGAACACCAAATCAACACTGCCGGAATGCGGTCAACAAAGTAGTCGATCATTTAAGAAACGTGTGTGGTTCCGAGCCTCAAAAGGTAGGAAGGAATACAATCCTTATTAAATTTTCGTTAAGTTATTACTTCCATTACAGATAGACGCTCATTTTTCTCAAAACGTTCCAGATCTTTCTGCTATAGATCTGTTAAGTATAGAAGGTATTGAAGATTGTTTTGATGGAAATGGTAATGGAGCTTTAACGGAACTCATGAAGTAGGTTTGAACAATTCATTCAAATGAACAATGCAGACATTAATGTGCTTTCAGATACGCGACTTTTAGATCGCAGCATACGTTTATGCTGATCATGTGTGGAGTGCTTCGTAAAACACTGATAAATTCCCCGCAGAAAAGTAGGGATAAAGTGAAAAATATAGTGAACAAAGTAAGAAAAGCATTTGATAGCATGTTAGGAGAAGACGATGTAAGTTGATAAATATTTTACTGATTTGGTTAGCTGTTTAAGCTATTTTCCTGGTGCCGTTTCAGATATTGATTGTACCGAGTTTTCCAACTGAAGCTCAAAAACATGGAGATGTTTTAAGATCGATCATCTGTATTGGTTATTTGTCGATATTCAATTTGTTGGGGTATCCAGTTACGAATTGTCCTGTAGGTGTTACTTCTGATGGTCTACCAGTTGGAGTTCAAGTGAGTAACTTGAGCTAAAATATTTTTGATTTGCTGAAAATGGATTTTTCTTTTGTGAACTACATTGTTTTTAATCAAATTTCAGATTGTTTCTCGACCATACGGAGATAAAATCACATTGACACTGGCTGAGGAATTAGAAGCATCATTTGGTGGCTGGATAGAACCCAGTGATATTTAAGAATTCTTCTAATGTGACTAAAATCAACCACTGAGTAAAAAACTTTTGTTATGGAATCCTATGGTTAATATTGTTATTTATCATTAAATATTTTTGCAATCTCTCGCATATTTTATTGTAGTGAAGGCAAATACTACACATTTCATACATCATCACTTCCCAAGTAATACAAGTCATTACTGGGGAAATAGTTGAATGTTTAATTTATATTCCCCGAGCTGGAAATGTCATTATTTCTCCGGATATCGTTCCAATTAAAACTGCGGCTTCCATATCTATTGCTCCGACGAAAGAATGAACCAGAATTTTGTGGATTTAAGCTCCATCAGTAGGATATTATTGGGCTTAAAATTAGCTGTAAATTTGCAGAAAAGATTATCGGCTTTCAGTTTTCACAAGAAGATATTTCCCAACTTACAAGCTGGATTAAATCGATTTTGATATCTGGTTAAGATATAATATTATCAGTATTGGAATAATAACCTAACGCTAAATCTATTAAGGAAAATGGACATCTAAATATCTCTGAACACTGATTCACTCCGTTTTTCACATCGTCCGGTTGCGACCTCCCAATCTGCGATGCGTAGTGATAAGCATGATGAATGTCTGGTTCATGCTTAAGTAGTGGTTCTTGTGGAAACCTAAGTGAGATCCTGGCTATAATTTTGTGAATAGTTTTAGATTTTCCTGAAGAATTACCTGAAAAGTAGCTTCAGTATATTATATACCAAATTATCTTCTTTTTTAAGAAAGCGTTCCTCTGCTTCACACAAACTATGAAGAATGCAGGATCGACCATCATATCCCATCCTAGAATAGAAGAAGATAATAGTTTTTTACAAATTTGGTTTGCAAAGCTTGATTATAATATGCAAGGTGTCCCGATGTACAACGATTGACTAAAACTGCTTGCTACAAAAATATCGTTTTTATACAGTCGGTGTGGAAGTGTGAAATCACTTTTAATTAATTTACAAGTTTGTTTATCTGCTGTAAAAGGTTACCCAAGAGGATTTTTTGAGGAATTTTTTGCAAAAGGAAAAAATCCTTGAAGCAATGAAGGAAATATTTTCCGCTGGTTAGTTTTAATTTCTCATCTATACATTATTGATTTTACAAACAGTGTGGTATTTTAATATGTTTTTTTAACAAAAGCGGAACTAAACGATTGGGAAGTTTTTTCGCTTTCGTTTAATTTTCAGATATTTTTGAAAACTACATTGATTTAATTAGAACCATTGAACTTATCGTCATTTTGGCTATTCAAAATAACATTCTAAAAATGCAATTTTTAAATTAATCCAGCAGCTAATGTTTGTCGTTTTAAGTTTTTGCAAGGTGAAACTGAGTTTTGCACTTTGAGACAGCTCTAATTGCACCTTGGAACATGACTAATTTTACGTTCAAATAGGAAATAAATACATATTGGGAAAAGAGGTAATGCATAAACTAACATGTTTTTTTGCTATTACCAAATGGAAACGAATGAATTCAACGGGACATGAAAAGTATTCCATTCTCCGTTTCAAACCACCAAGTACTGTTGGATTTGTTAATTTTATTGATATTTTCGAGTCGTTTCTTTCATATAATTTTTTACTAACGGTTTTATGATTTTTTCGAATTCGTGGTTAATCATCGAAGCATTCTTTAACATCTGTTTGATTCCCACTATACAAATAACGCTTTGATTTCTTCTGTTTTAATTCTACAGATGTAAAATATTCTTATAATATTGTAGCATTTTCGACATTTTCTCTGCTTTATGTATATATCTTTGACAAACGTATTTTTCCAATACTCGCCTTCATCTCTAGTGAAACCATGTAAAAAAAATAATWTTTGGTTCAGTTTTTARACTTTCTAGTCGGCTTCTAAAAAAATAGTTCTGAACTGATGCTGTGCTGGGGATTGGTTACGAGAGCAAMTAGAAATTTATTTTCAGTCAAATATTTTCGTGTTTAATGTAAACAAAAAATAACATAAAAAAACATAAYAATATTTTTTTATGTGTTTTACCAACCCTGTTTGCCAGRAATTTGATCCGTCCAATTGCTAACAACCTTAGTGYAATACATTTTATGGCCCAAAGACTTTGAATTTCTAGCAAGATACAGAACAAATATTTTATCAACATAATATTAGATGAAAATTATTTTTTAAGTGCCTTTATAACCACCTGGTCAGCAGCTAACTTGAAAATTGAAGCTAAAGAACCGATAGAAAGTGGTGACCAACCCCCTCACCCTCATGCATGATGAAGACAATAAAACCTTGTCAGTCCAGGAATAATAAAATCGTCTCCAAACGCTGCAACGATAATTACTAACACCGGGGAAAAACGAACGATAGGCAAAGATAATTGTTGGAAACTCTTCAAGTAAATGAGTTGGAAGCCGCAGAAGGCTGAAGGCCAAAGATCAGAAAGTGACCACAAATATTTTTGAGGAACATTTTGGCGGAATAACGAAATGAAAAATATTACCAGTAGGTTTTGAACTGGTAGAACTGAAGTGAAGAAATCCATTAGTAAGTTCGAATCAAAGAGACCAGAAGTACAAAACGATTGCTTGATCAGAGTGAAAATATAACTGTATCTTTTGAGAAAATTGTTTTGAATGGGAAAAATAACGATAAGCAGAGCTATTTTAATTAAATCAGAATATACAAAAATACTTGGAAAACATTAACAGTAAGAAACGTCGAAAATTACACCATCCTTTGAGACCAAATTGCCTTATTTTTCTTGCATAATCTTTAATATAACTTGTAATTTCTACTGAAAATTGAATTTTTCAGGTACATCTCATATTAATGTACAATAACCTGGACAAATAAATATCCATAGGTTTAATCCTGACCTCCACAATTGTCTGGCATTTAGTTTTCCTTATAACTCACGTCTTATTAAATAATTAGTAAAGAATAAAATTAAGTTAAAGGTAGCAGTGCCACACAGACACAAGGTTCAGATATAATTTGAGCCTTAAAGAAGACCCCATTAAAGATCGAAACGTCGGAAAATAATTGTCGGAATAATACGAAATGACGTTATCATTGCCTTCAACCTGCTACCTTCAACTTAATTTGCCAATTGGGACGCAAAAGAAGCGAAACGAACTTAAAAAAATATGAATAACTTGATGTTAAATATACTGACATACTAATGAGATTTTTGCACATACTAAAATAATTCTTAATTGCATGCATAAACCGAGCAGAAAGTCTGAAATATTTTCTAGCCCTTCAACTCAATCCCTTCAGTTATAAACAGTGATCGATGACTGTGCTTGCTTGCTTTGCAGACTTTATAAGGAAAAACTGTTGAGTCACATAACTTAACTCTTTTGGTGTTGTCTACGCCTAATCAGCTTTTTTTCTGCTAATTGCTCTGAATTGCTACTCTTTCATTTGCCCCTTTGCTTTATTGTAAGGTTCCATATTTCTCATTAATTTATGAATTAAATATTTTCTGAGAATTACTTTATTATTTTACTTGTGTTTTCATCTGCTAATCAAGATCTATGCAGGCCAACAAGCCATAATAGAACATGTGAAGCGAATACCAATAATCGAATCCAACGAATATAAAAGCATCCAAGTGTTCAGCTCATATCTACGTTTTTGGAAGAAACCGAGCTTATGAGCTCAGTCATGCAGACGTAATGATTATAAATTGTATATCGGTATTGTGTGCTCAGTTAATGCAAGAAAATTCAGAAACGAGTAATTTGTTACCTAGACTACTTTAATAAATCAATATTTTCTGCCGGAGGAAAGTTCCTAAATTAGATTGCTTTATTAATATAATGTTGAAGGCTAACGATTTTATATGAAAAATGGACAAGCGAAAAATGAATACTTACGAATTTAAAACTTTTTCAATTCTGCTGTACAGATCTCTTCGATTTCTTCTCTTCATAGCTGGTTTATAAACGTCCAATAACGGTTTGGTTTCATTGGGGAGTTCGTAAAGTAATCCCCAATTTATATTCATGGAAAAGATATCCGAACCTGGGGTGATCCCCATGAGGTTGGTTAAGCAAAATACGGCCTAGAAGTAATATATTGTGCGAATTACGCCCAGGGAAGACTGACTGATACAATTAAAAAAATTGTGAACTTGTGAGGAAAATTGAGTTAGAAGCACAATTCTGTTTATACTGACTAATTTAATAATAAATTGAGAAACATCTGGATTTCATTCTCTTTCAGAAAGTTCTCCTACTCAGTGTATATTGGTTATGGTACAGTAAAGATACATACTACGTAAAGTTAATATATTCAGTTTTCAATAGCTAGCTTGGCAAAAAATATAATAACTGTTTATTACTCTTCCTTCTTTGATAGTCTTGGCATTGAAATTGGGCTCACGTGTTACCCAAATTGAATCCTGCAGTTAAATTACGAGCAAAATTGCCAAAGTTTAAGAGCCCAAATTTGCCGCGAGTCTTGATCTTATCCTGATTCAAAATTAGATTTGAGCAAACTATTCCTATTATTGATTGAATTAGGTCAAATAGTTGAAAGTATGATGACGAATACTTAAAAACTTAATCCAAGCATACGGTAACGCCAAACTTGGAACAATTCAATCGAAATCAAATAATGCTTACCGAAAAGACAGCTCCTTCTGGAAACGCTAGATATCTCCTCACTCTAGTTAATTTTCTTTCCTTGTAGTCATTTTGAGTAGTTTTCACAACAATCACGCAACAGCTAAGAATAAACCAATAAATGATTTTCATAATTCGTCAACTTTACTTGTATTTATTGGATGTTTAATTGGTCACACGTTCTTTCTGCTGGCCCTGTTTCCTATTTTTACTGTTACAATACTGTTAATGTATTGTAGCGGAGGATCGAATTGAAAATAAACATATTTGAGTAACCGCATTTTAAAATCTGATTGTCTTAAAAATCTCACTCAAATATTTAGAGAGCATCATGTAACACTATAAAAAGTTTAACGGGGGAACTAGGATAGACATTGGCAGTAAAATGACCTATATTCTCATTCGATTTATTTTTATCAGCTAGGATCAATGGAATTATCAGTGGGCTCATCAAATCTGGAATAGTGACCTAGAGCTAGATCTATAAGAGAAAATGGGCAGTAGAATATATCAGAACACTCCTTGGCGCAATCAACATCATCATCATTATCCGGAGAACTGGCCATATGGGCTGCCCAATGGTAAAGTCTATGATCATCTGGCTCATTTGATGCAACTGGCTCTTTAGGATATCTAATAAATGAGAAAAATTATGTAGAATAAAAAAATAGTTACAACATTTTTTATATAACTTTTTTGATTTTTTGTATTGAATTTAGATACATAGGACCTAAACGATTAAATTCATTGATTTTTAATATAAATAATACAATCGCTACCAGGAAGGAGGTTTACCTCACATAACATTAATATTTTCTTGAATGTTTACTAAACTTACTTTGTCCATCAAAAGAAATTAAATTATATTCTTGCATTAGGTCTTTTTTCAGCATTAATTTAAAACTAAAATATAGTTTAAGAAAAAACAGTTGATTTCTAGACCTATTTTAGTATCCGATTATATTTATTAAAGCTCAAWTGAAAAATGTAAAAAATGAGAAAATCCGGCAGAGAGATCAAGGYGGTCGATAACTTCTTCCGAATAGAAATAAAAATTGTTTTATACATATATGTACATAATATGCATACAGCGATACAAGTTTAGTATAGTAACCGTTTACCAAGACATTATTTAAGCCTGTTTGMCGACTAACCTTTCTAAGCCTTTTATAAACTTYTTATTAACCCCCTTACAAATAACTCAAAATTTCTCTATAAATGTAGAGAATGTTTTCCTTTCCRAGTCGTGTACAGACAGAARTTAATTTCAGATTTAATGGGTAGCATTATCTTTTAAACRTTGAATAGTTATATTTTGTCTGGTGCAAAYAGTCTGCTAATCAAGTTTTGTTARTATGTGCTACTCTGTTAGAAACAGGGATAAAATTCAGAAGCYACTTTTGCAAATGCTGCAACTTACCGAAAGATTAATCCCAGGATGTGATGTAGAAGACTGTCTTCTCGGRACTTTAAGTGTTTACTGGCTTCACATAAAGCACGCAAAATGCAAGTTCGGCCATTRTAACCCATTCTGGAAGTAAATAGTGAGAATATAATTCTATRAAAAATWAAAATACTGAATGAACCAGATTTTGCACTAGGAATTAACTGACTTATAAATGTTTCTTTATGTAAAATATTTGTATGTATGTATATGCAAAGTTCCTACGGCTAGAGCCGTTTCCCGCCTCTCAACTTCCATTTTTTTCGATCTGTCCAACAATTTCTATCTTGTAGACCTCTTGCCTCCATTGCTTCTTCCACATCTTTTCTCCAACTTATAGGTGGTCCTCCGCGCTTTCTGCGCTCGGGACTCTGTCTACCTCTTCACATGTGTTCTCCCAGTATTCGTTTTTTGCTTTCATTATTTCTCCTTGCGATTCTTTGTTCTTAAATCGGCAAATAAGTTTATTTTGGAGAATTTTTGTTTTTAGCCAGATTCTTCTTTTCTCTTCTACCAGAGCTTCTAGCTTTATATTCCACCAGGGTTCATACTTCATAATTCTTACACTCATCCAATTCTCTTAGTGATTCCTTAGTTGCTTGGTGGATGCAGCTTTTCAAACATTCGTACATAGTATCCGGTGATCCATTTTGAAGMTTTGTAACTTTGCTTACTAGGCGGATTTGGTATAAGAATTTAGTGGAGTCATCTTCCAGTCCTTTAATGATGTATCTTACTGTTTTATCTTCTCTTTCATCGCTTTGCTGTTGAGCATTTGTTTGCTGAGCCTGGTTTTTAAAACGAAATTATTTTTTTGACCGTAAGAGATAGTGGTTTGTGCCACATTCTGGCCCCCTCATGACGCGTACATTATGGACCTTTAATTTTGTTTGTTGCTTCACAATGATGAAGTCAATTATGGATTTTAAGTTTCTTGTTGGTTGTAACCATGTGCAACGGTGTATATATTTTTACTAAATCTTTGCAAAATACTTACCTACACTATTAATTTATAATTCACTTTTTAGTGTGAGTTAATATATTGGTAGTTGATAACTTTGAGTAAATCGTTAATAAACAATTTATAAATGGCTTAAACATGCATAATTCAAAAACGTAAATTAAATGCTCAAGACTTACGAATTAAGAATGTCTTCCACTTTAGTATACAGTTCCCTACGATTTCTCCTTTTTAGTGCTGGACCATAACCATCAATGAATGGCTTTGTATCATTGGGTAAGTCGTACACCAATCCCCAATTGATTCCTTCTGTGAAAATTCTGGCCCCATCTGTGATACCCATTTGAAATGTTAAACAGTATACTGCCTAAAATGAAAACAAGTGTTGTACAACGGAGAATAAAAAAGCTATAAAATATGCGATTAAAATGCAGCAGATCTGTTAATATAATGAAATTTGTTCAAACTCGTTTTTCAGCTAATAGAAGTGCAGTTGTCTGCCAAAAGTTTTAAATGTTAATCACTCCGTTTGTTGCTATCTGATTCATTTTATTTTAGCTGTAATCGCTTCAATAATAAATGCCACTGTTTCACCTTTTTATTACCACACATATTTATTTTATAATTTGAAAACGTTCCCACCAACTTCAATTCAAAATTAAATTCACTCTTGCCTTTATACGTTCAATTCGTTATATGCTGAAAGCAATTTAAACTTATTAAAAGGTTACAAATAACTAAAAAGAATTAAGCTCTATTTCTGAATAAAGCACTGATTCTGTTTTTCAATTAATTCCACTTGAAAATGCAAAATGATCGTTGTATAATAAAAATGTTGAATGAAAATATCTATGGCCAGAGAACTTGTTGAGTAAAATTGTTGGGGCTGTTTGAGCTGCCTTGCTGGCAATTAAACATTTAAAGATAATTAACACCCTGTATTTAACAACAAAATCATAGAATTCTTTACCGAATTAAGTTATTGCGTATATAAAATGTCCGGAAATGTCTAATCACTACATTGAAATAATAGGATATTAATACCCCAAGAAGGCCTCACTAAGGTAAGATGGGCGAAAATTTTAGGCACTTTTTTTATAACAATTATCCAAAAATTTTACGTTAATACAAGTACTTACTGAAAATGAAGCTCCTTCAGGAAAAGCTACATACCGCTTTTTTCGATGTAGCTTTGCTCCCTTACTCTCCACTTGTAACAGAAGTGTGCACATAACAAATAAACGAACTATTTTTGTAATACCCATTTAGCTATTCAGTAGATTAGGTTTCAATGGTTCTGATCAGTGAAATGCCTCCAATCGATTCGTGAAAGTGGGCTAAAGAAAACTAGACTGCATTAAATGATCCTAATTGATGAAAGTAGGAGAGTATTTTTTAGCCTTTTAATTGCACTATATTAATTTTTTTGAATTAAATAATTGAAAATAAATATTCATAAAATGCTAGAAAATATGAATAGTTAGTGCTGTAACTTATGGAGCTCAGTTATGTGTTTGTTTTACTTCTGTACTCTAATTTGATTGTAAAATATTGGTTAGTTAACCGTTATGTGTTTGAACATTTCCATTGGCAAAATGTACAGTTTATTTCATCCGTTCTTAGACACATAGAGTAAAATGGATCGACATATATTTGTGGTTTTGGCACTTTTTTTAAATTACTTTCCTGCGGATTCAGTTGCCGACTTCACTGATCAACATGTGCTAAAAAGACATAAGCGATATGTGGCGTTTCCTGAAGGCTCCACTTTTATAGTAAGTAAATAAGCCCCTTTATTAATTTATTTCTTTAACGATCATCCAAGAGGGAATTTTTCCGTAAGTCCGCGATTGGATCCATTATGTCCAAAGCCGTGTCCCATTTTAGTTGGCAGCTTCGACGTATCAGATTCTACAAGAAAGAAAAATAATTACGGCGAATTAGTCAGGGTTACGTCGAAAAGGAAATAATGGAATGTCTTCGTATCGAAATAACGATGCTCGTGGGTTTTATCTCTCTTCACTTAATCAATCGATTTTTTAAAGTAATTACCAACGATCCTTTGGCGCATTGAAACGGCGCAAAGAATAAAAACGAATGAAACGACTTTAATYTAATCGAGAAAARAATTATGAACGTGACTTAGATTTACAACTAAAATGAAGGAAGCTGCATACTTACGTTGCAAGACCGGAAAATGAATATCCAGAAATATTATAAACTATTCAATTTGCCATTACATTGTAAATTTCCAGGTTACTTTGTGTATATCATTGAATGTTTTGGATCGCACAGAAAACATATTTCTGCAAGGTGTCAACTGGGGTATTTCCTATGATCTGCCAAATGCTACCACTGTAATAGAAGTGTTTAAAAAGAATAAATATGCCCACAAAAGAATGCAAAAGCGAGATCTCTACAACAGAATGGAAACTTTAACGGATAAGTATGTTAATTCCTCTATTGACATTAGGGCTAAATAGTAGCTAATAAGAAGTTTTCTAAAGAATATGATTATTTCAGAATGGGATTTGGAGGAAAAGATTGCATTTACAGAGCATTGTGCGAAACACCTAGAAAGCTCCATAAAGAACGGACTTCTTTGGCGCAAGACATCTTAAGACAGTTTTTCGAGTAAGTACAGTAACAGTAAACTACAGCTTCATATGGAGCAAATTTTAATGATACCACGTCGAATTTAAGATACCCGTTAGAGAGATTATCATATTTGGAACCAGACGAGCACAGAAAATACCATTGGGCATCCAGATATAGTACAGAAAACAGCCATCTGAACTGTTGGGACTTGTTTCCAGATTGCACTATTTCAATCATAGATATCGCCCTTGGGAACTATTCAGGGCCGTAAATATTATTAAAAATTCAAAAATTTTTGCTGTGATTATTTTTTAATAAAGGCTATAAACCGAAAAAAAATCACTTTTTTTTCAACTACTTAAATAAATAGAGCTTCCATGGTAAGTAGGAAGAGTTTGTATTTTGTAGCAGAAACTCAAATAGTTTAATGTAATGTAAACACGATGTCCTGCACTAATATACGCTTAAAATTTTGCAAATATATTTTTCCTTAAACTCATCGTTACTGCATGGCAAACTCTATTACTTTGATTTATTTGCCTTGATTCTTCATTCTAGCGACAATATTCAAATGCAATTACTTATAATTGAATATGTTTATTTAATTATTTCTGACAAAGTTCGTCATTGTAAAACAAAAATAT